CCTTTTCCTCTTTCTTGACCTACGTTACCACAAACCCTGACTCTCCCATGTCTTCTCTCTCCATAGAGCCACTCTTGTGTTTCGTTGCCGCCCCGTTCATTACCAAGAGTTTGATGTGTCCCCCAGATGACAGCTCAGCTCCATATATTACCTCGGCCACTCGCCAGACTTAAAATCAAATTAGCTGAGCAGCTGAGAGAAAGCTTCCCCGGATCACACACGGCCACGGCGTTAAATCTGAATTCGAACATTAGGTTTAAGTCTTTTCCACATACGGCTGTTTCTCAAGTAGCATAAAAAACACAGTATATGTCATAAAAGATAAACATATTATAGAGAATGTGGCTATTACTCTTGTGTTATTTTCATAAACAAGCTGTAATACTCCCCGCTGTCGGAGTCTGCCCATCAATTTAACGACACGGACGGAAATGTGCTTGTGGCTTCTCTCAATTAACTTAAAGTCATAATTGGAAAAGGCTATGAAGCGCTCGCCTGTCTTCAGCGTGGGCTGAGAAGCAAAGGTTCACTCAGTGGCTTTTAAGACACTTGCATGCTCTCCAGTTGCTATAGTGTGATTTGCAACAGCACAGAACTGTCAGAAGCAATGAATCACATTACTTAAGTCAGTCATTAAAGGCGAGCTATTCCTGTTACACAAAGTACTCACATTGGCGGTTCCCTGTGACACTGAGGCAGGCTTTTAAAGCTCTCACCTGTGACATCCACCTGTTTTTTTTTATTTTTTTTAATTCTGGGAAAAAATCTCTGCTGGTTAGGGTTGTGTTTTTCTCAGATGGCTTGTCAATCAGACGGCGCGGGCAGCACTCAGCTGTCTTTGTCCTTGGGTTTTCTGCAGGAGAGAGAAAGTGTGAGAAACAGCAAATTTGAGTGATGACAGTTGTGCACTGAGGGACTTCTTCTGGACTTCTTTTTTCCTCACTTACTCTTTGTACTGCCTCGTGATATTAATGAATTTAACGTTCAACTCACTGCTTTGTAGATCTTTATTTTAGTTGCTTGTTATGTTTAGTTTCTAAATCAGAAGTGGTCAGAAAAAAGGATTTAGAAAACAGAAATTTTACAAGTAAATGTTGCAGCTCAGCTAACGTTGTTCCTCCATTTAATCCAAGGTAACTTTTATTGTTAAAGATTGCAGGATGAACATAGAGAAAGTTTAGGCTGACTGCATGTTTCATGGGATAAAAAAAAGGGATCACGCATTCACTGACTTTATCTGAAGGAGCTTTACGAATAAGAAAGCCGTGCCACGCCACTGTTATGCACGTAGACCAAATAAACCATGAATTAGGAAACAGCCGTTGAAGACCAGTCAACTGTATGTGGTTCTGTTTCTTTTTCACATCTGTTTGAGTTGCCCCCTGCTGGCAAGGTCATAACTTTGACTTATTGATGGTAGGGATGTAACGGAAACCAGTGTGATGATAAATTGTGATAAAATGTTGATGATAACGTATGTGTGTGATGAATCAGCTGTGTGATTGCCGATGATAACTCACTAATGCTAATATTGGCGCGCGCTCTGTGGTACGCCGCACATATGTATACAAATACATATTAGTCTAAGGCCGTGTAAGAAAAAAATCATTTTTAAGGTGTGGCAGCTTTTTATAGCCGTGGTGGTGCGTCACGATCGATTGCATGTAGGGATACCCCCGTGTTGATCATCCCAGCTTCATCCGAGTCTCCTAAAGTAACCATGCAGGCGCACTGTGTGGCCTACAATTTAGGTTTAAACTTTCTATTAGGTTTGTAAAGGAATCACGGAGATAATAGCGCCGAAGACATCCATCAGCCCTCTAAGAGGACCAAGGCAGAAGTATGGGCATATTTTTGGAATACAACGATACTTACTATGGGAACGCCAAGGGAATGCATAGTTGTAGACACTAATCCTATCTAGATATAATGAAATGATGAAAACGAGGCAATGTTTCGCGCTAGTTATCAGCATAAAAAATGCTCTAATCAATGCCTTTGAATACAATTTTAAAATAATAATGAAAACTATGATCATTTCGGTCACAATAACGTGAGGTAGAATTTTCACACCGTTACATCCCTAATTGTTGCGTGACAATTTGCCCGTGCTTTTAATCAAAATCCCTCACGACAACTTTAAATGTAAGAAATTTCAAACTTTGACGTCCACGACATCCAAACTCTCCTCAGATGAACTTCTCTCTGAATATCTCGCCTCTGACATCCACATGAAAAGCTTTTTTCGCTTCCACACACTGCAGACACCCATCATCTGAACACTGTGGTCATCTGAGCACGCAGCACCACAAGGTGACTAATAAGAAGGAGACGGATTGACGCAAGAAGTTCCAATATCTTTGCCCCCATGCTGCTTTATTTACATGCTGGCCCCGCCGCGTCTTCCTGCACCCACTCTATGCCGTAATGAGGGTCCCTGGAGTGCTGAGAAAAATCTGCCCTCTTCCTGTGACCCCCCACCGTGTGTGTTCATGTGCTGCGTGCTCATTTGCTCATTGATGTAGCTCCCTTACAGATTTATGTCGAGTTTTAATGAAAAAGCTCATAAGGCTATAAACAGAGGAGGGATAAGTCACGTTGATGTTCTCTGATAAAGAGTGCAGTGCAAGTGTCAGAGAAGATCATTTTTACCCCAGCAGCTGCTCAGAGGTGGTCTGTGCAGTCCTGTTAAGTTTTCCTTTATATAGTTTTGGTCAGTGAAACTCAGTTTTCCTTTTAATTTCATTTTAGCCAGTTTTTTTAGTCAATGTTTCTGTCATAATTTCCCTCATCAGTTGGCCTTGTACGAAAGAAATCAGTAGGAGTAAAAAATACATCACCATGTTTAGTCATCTTGGCTCAAATGGGTTTCTAACTTGGCAAAAAAGTGCAAAAGATAATATTTCAACTACACAAACTCAGTATATAGAGCTGCTTTAGTTGAAATGCATCAGGGTCTGAGTAATGCTCAGGTTGGAGAGTTCCCTGCGCTTCCACGTGTGTACGTGGAATACCAAAGACCTCCCTGCCGTTCCCTGTGATTATGTGAAAAGTCAAGGCAGGGAGATGTAATCAAGGTTATTTCTGCCCACACATTAGCTTGTCTATCTCACGGTATTTCCTGTCTAATCTTGCAGTATTGTATATCTCGCGGTATCTCTTTGGTCAGTCTTTGTTGAGTGTTTTCGTGAAGTCATGTGGTCACGTGGGTTGGCACGGCCATCCAGGTGTAGTCTTTATGCCACTGCAGCTCAGTCTGAGGAGGAGCAGTGGGGAGGCTGCACGACCAGCAAGCTCCAGGTTGGTTTGTGCGTAACTGCAATGCTTTTTCACTTCATTAAATGCTTTTAATATATGAACTTGTAGGAGCCTTCTACTGTACCCTCTACCGTGTCTTCTACTTTGCAAAGAACATGTCGTGTGGCGCTAACCATGGACAGGCCATATTGCATCAGACTTAGCCTAAAGAAGGAGGAGTAAGGGTGGAGGTGGGGTTTAGCTGGGGTTTGAAGAGGCAGCAGGAAGAGTAGGCTGAGCTTGACTTGCAGCCTGTATGGACTATGCTCGGTTTTAAACGGAGCAGTTGAAGGATTTGTGAATGGATATGAAATGCTAATCGCCAACAGGTGCTTTATTGATTTGTCAAATAATGCAAACTCGATGGGAGAGGCCTGTCGCCACAAAGCACTCAGAGTTTTGAGATCATTTAAACCAGATTTAGCACACCTCATATTCATGTCAAGCTTTGGTGTGGGTACATTTTATCATTTGAATCTCTGAATATGTGATAACTTCACTTTTTAGAAGCTCAGCAGGTTCAGCAACACTTTTACAAATACTGAATGACTTTTTTCTCAATGCCTTCAATGTGAATTCGAACAATGCTTCCTCTTACTGTATTTTTAATTTAAACTAACACGAGGAAAAATGAATGTGCAGCCTTGCGAAAAGTGATTGTTGTCTTGGGTATTTCAGTGTTTTGCTTTTGTTTTAACTGCACTTAAAAAAAAAAAAAAAAACACCTGAGCATAAATGTAGCTTTTTTTTAAAGGAGTGATCTTTTGTCCCTTTCTAAATGTCATCAGGGGCCAACTGCTGCAAAGCCCACACAAAAGAACCATCGAGGCCCATTATGTTACACACAGATACTGTGTGGGTATATCGAGGACTCTTGCATAGCAATTACTGTTAAAAAATAATTGATTGCATTAACCTGGCCTTTCACCATTTTACAACTCCGATCCATATTCCTAAGTGGCCGTGTAGTGCCGGGTTTTAACCTGAGAGGAAACGGCGTAATGATTTTGTCAGGCCAGTATTGAATGGCTCTGTGGTGTTGGTGTTACTCATGGTGTGCTGCTTTTCAAGCACCCGCAACTCAACCGAAATGTCAGTGTGTCATTTTCCATTGAGAGGAACACACACACACACACACACACACACACACACACACACACACACACACACACACACACACACACACACACACACAAAGGTTCACACTCACGCATTCACAGATCTAGATAAAGCAGTCACACTCTGGGGGGCTTTTTTTCTGTTTGTGTCTTGCTATTTGGACGAGCCGGTGAAGACTCTCAAGGGTATTTGGGTTAAACTATGGAAGCCCTGAGTGGCACATGAGAAAAACAACATCTGTCAGTCAAATTTTAAGACTTAATCTAATTGTATTCATCGTGTAATTATGATCTAAAATGCAAAAAATCTGAGCTGTTGCTTTATTCTGATTTTGATATATGGAGGTATCCATTTGACTCAGTTAGTAGGTCTCAAACAGTTAGAACATCTTGTCTACAAGGTCTTGGCTATTCAGTGCCAATATTCATTCACAATGGTACACAATGCCACATATACCGTATTTTTTTTGGATGATAAGGCGCACCAGATTATACGGCGCACTGTGAATTAACGTGTCTTTGTTCACACATAAGGCGCACTGGATTGTAAGGCGCATTAAGCATTGATTGGTTTATGTTGCTAGCGTATACTCCAGGCCCTGGCTGCCTTACATGAAAGCACTTCTAGTTTAGACATTAGAGTCAGGCAGTCTTGTAGACTGCTCAGGGGTCCTGTTACAGAGCCGATCAGGTAGTGACACAGCGTACCGTAATGCTCTGAATATCCATTGAGCAAAGAGTGTGGTGCTTGAATCTCTCCAGTCAAATAAAGCTGAACTGATTCCACGCCACTGTGGAGTCCATCTTCCTGTATGGCTGGAAAAGCTGGACCCTGACACCCACCCTGCAGAAGTCCTGGATGGGTCACCAGAATGCTACGAGCTGTTCTGAATGTGGAACAGAATATCCACATTACCAACAAGGACCTGTACGGGCAACTGCCAAGGCTCAGCAAGAAGGTAGCATCAAGAAGGATCAGGCTGGCCTGCCCCTGCCATTGACATGAGGAGCTACCGGCCAGCAGGCTGCTCGCGAGGACGTTCAGCGCTAATGTATGTGGATGTCCTGAAGTAGGATGCGGGACCTGAAAGCTCTTGGAGAATCGGGAGGATTGGCAACTCCGATGGAAGCTCGTCTGAGGACGACCGAGAGAAGTGGCTTTGTTGCTTACTAAAGTCGTAATTACACATTTCGACAGATTTTTGAGCACACTGTACCACATATAATCGGTCAGTAAGCACAACAAGTAACCATTCATAAGGCGTGTTTGGGAAAATTCAAGGATTTTATGTGCACCTTGTAGTCTGAAAATTACGGTTTGTAAAGTGAGTGTAAACCTCATGATTTAGGCCTGCTGTCGCCCACAACTATAGCACTGGGTGATGAAAGAAGAAGCGACACACTGATAGTCCAGAACAAAGTGGAGTAAGAATAACACAGACACCTAAGGTGGAGTTGTTGCTTTAATTATGGTTTTGTGCAATAAAGTCAAGTTCTTCCTCAACTTTCTCCAACTTCTAAAAGCTGAAATATCATTTTTTCAGCAAACACCTTTCTTTTTGGTTGACTTGAGAGGCAGCGTGGTGCAAAGTTCAGCCTTAAATTATCACTCCGATAACCACCAACCGCCTGTCACACACTCCTTTTTCTGTGTCTTTCCTGTCTTTCAAGCCGGTGCTGAGAGAGAGATATAGATTGGATAAGGCCACTTGCTCCGGCTTCACATCCATGCAGTGAAAACACATTTCCCTCCTGAGAGAGCCGAGCCCCATCCTTCCTCTCTGGAAAGATTACAAAGCAGGCGGGGATGCAGAGTGACACAATCTGCCTCGCTATCCTCCTCTGCATCTGAGAGACTGTTCTTCCAGCATGAAGCGTCCATAGGTTATGATGACAAGACTCCCAAACTGCTCAATCCATAACGTCGGCAGCTGTACCTTGTCTGCCACCTTGTGTGTAATTCATTCTTGAGTGCTTATGGATTCCTCGCGAAGTTCAGCTCGGATTCGGTGCCAAAGGAGCAAAAACTATTTAAAACGGCTTCATTATGGAGGAAACAGTTTTATCATGTTAGTTTTTACCGGAAATCATTTGATACAAGGATACGAGAAATGCTGACATATCTCCGCGTTGCATGGTGTAGCTGGATGAGTCACAAAGGACCCTCTCTCTTTTTCGCTCCTTCACGCTTTTGCACGGTTTTTCTTTCATTAAATCTTGCAGCACCTTCTGTTCAGAGGTTTCTCTTTTATCTTGAATGTTTGCATGATTCTCTTTTATCTAGTTTTACTGAGTCTTTCTTATCCCTTGTCGTCCTTCCAGGCTTTGGAGAACATGTTTTCCTGCCCTGCATTGCTCCACAGTGCAGCTGCATTTAAGCCATTAGTCTTAAAATGTGTTTGTGTCAGTGCATCGCCTGTTGTTGTTCTCCCTCCTCCTCCTTCTCCTCCTCCTCTGCTTTTTTTTTTTCTAAGGCTGATGTGTCTTTCATTACCAGGGTCTGACAGCGCCGAGCCGAGCGGACGTCTGTTTGTCACCCTCTAATGGGGCTTGGCAGCCTACAAGGTGTGCACAACACCTCAGAGAGAGTGGCCTTCTCCTTCTGTCTCCCTCAGCGAAGGAAAAGACCAATAACACTACCCCCGCGCTTTCAGTCCACTGTTCAATTTCACTTCACGTCCGCGTCAGTGCCGTGAATTGGATCAGGCACATATGGACAAATTCCACGTCCAGTTGACTTGATGGGAATTGACCAAACCTTGCCAGGATCTCACACGGTGCTGGCTTTGATCCGTCCCCAGCTGTCAATTGCAATATACAGTTTAGGAGTAAGGCCATCTAATCCATTTTGAGTAAAGCCTGCTTTTTTGGTGGTGGCCTATCGACCTGCTCTCTGCTGTGCTGCTGCTTATCTGTCTCTCCAGAGCAAATGTTTTCATTTGATGGATTTCAAGACAGACATATATTAAGGCGACGGACCACCGTTTGATAAGATCAGATTGAGATACGAAAGTAAAACTTGCTTGCAACCTATCATAGGGTCTAAGGGATCTATCGGCACCTGGTGCACAGCGTGTCAGAATAAGTGTCATTGTTTTTTTCCAGCTGACACAGTCATCACTTCATGCCCAACATTTACATGCTGTACATTTACATCTATAATTGAGTCTGGCCACAGGAAGAGAGGCGACTCAACTGGACTTGTATGTTCTGTCCTGGATAGCTATGGCTCCACCTGTTGGCCAGCAAAACTGTAACACAGGAAGTACACTGAAGGAAAACCAGGAAGTTTAAACTCTATAAAAGGAAGTTGGAGGTTCTCCCTTTGTCTTTAGCAGTTTACACATGTGCCATTTCCTGAGGAAGCCCAACTGCAAACTGACTTGTGTCACTTGTGAAAGCATCAGCTGTGAGTTTTGTTTTGTGTGATTGTAAGGTGGCTGGTCCTTGGTTGTTTAGCAGAATATGGTGTTAGAACATGTATTTTCTTGTCTTGCCTGTTTAGTGTTTAGTTTAGTTTATCCTGGTGCTTAGCCTAGCATGTAGCCTACAACTTAGCAGTGTAAGTTTGGTTAAGCCAGTATCTTAGCTTAGCTTTTAGCGTTAACATGAAATTTAGCATATAGCTAAGGCTTGTCACAGTTTACATGCCCTGAGGAAGAATTGAATTATTGAGGAAGTATGTTCGCTTTCACTATGTAATGTGGCAAAATCCTTTTTCGCTTTGTTACTGTTGGGTCGTCTCCTGGTTGACATGTTATGTATCAAAACAAGCTGTTAGCAAAAGGCTCTGTGCGGTTTTACAGAACATTTCATCTGTATTACATCCTTTCTTTGTCTGATAAAGTTTTGTTTACAGTATCTGTGCTGTTCAACCACTGGTGAGCAAACGCTCAGTTTTTCCTCTAACCCATACAAGAAGGAGCTGCTCATGGGATGCCAAAAGACAAGGACAGGAGGTTTAGTCACTTTTGAGCCAAATGCCTTTTTTATTTTTTCCATCTCATCCTCAATCAGGAAGACTTCTATGCCATGCCATGTTTGGAAATGTGGCAGGAATGGCAGCATTTGAAAAACCACAGGGAAAAAAAAAAGAAACTTATATATCATTCGTTACAGTAGGTATAGCAGTTTTCTGAAACTGTGCAGCCCATAGACCTGACTGTGAGACTCTTTTCTTTCTTTTTTATAAGGGTATCTTTCAGTCAGGGCGTTGAAAATCGGGGCAGGTCAAAAAATAAAAAATTAGAAAAGCTGAAACGAGGGGAGGAATAAATGGGATAATGGTTATGTTGATGGGAAAAAGGAGACAAAGGAGATAGATGAGAGTGAAATGATTATCTGAGCACCAGAAGATGGAATAATTGGGTGAAAAAGAGAATAGGTCCAATCCCTCCATTTTCTTCTTCTGGCTGTCAGAGTGCCACAATGAATAGCCCATAGCCAAGAAAACCACATATTCAGACCAGAACCCCCATTTCTTTATTAATCCACCTCCTTAATTTGATCCCCAGAGGAGATTGAAAGAACCAGAGGGAGGAGGAGAGGATGGGGCAGCAGGGTGAAACATGATGTGGAAGTAGATAGCCTGCGTTTCCCTGCTCTGGAGTGAAAGGTTAAAGATCCAGATAGATCTTTGTGTTCTTGAAAGCATTTGTGCACCTGTATGTTCAATGCTTTGAGTGTGCATGCTTGTGCCTTTATGTCAAAGTGTTTATCTGCCTGTCGAGTCTGTAAGAATGGGGGTAATGTGGGCTGATAACAAGATGTTCCTTTGAAATATCGCAGGGTTTTCATCCTGGAGTGGCACCGGGCAAATGTCAAACATTAGAAGTAAACAGCAATGTCATGGCTACTCCTGATGGAGAGAACAATACCAGAGAGGGCAAGAGAGAAGAAAAGAGATAGATATAGCAAGTTGAGAAGAGAAAACGAAGGTGAGAATGCATGAAAATGTTCTCTCTTTTCTGCTTTTCTCTCAGTCAGCTTCTCAGTCTTTCTTTCCAAAGCTGCTGAATCTCATATTCCCTTTTTCACAATGTTATCATCTCTTTCTCTATAAGTGTTGTTTTTTCTTGACTCACACCATAGAGGAACCTCCCGGTGTCTCACTCGGCTGTTTAACAATCCACACATCATTAGCGCCAAGCCAGGTTTCCTTTCTTTCCTTTGATTTGTGTCTCTGATCTGCTTGTAATACCTCGCTTATGAGCAGCAACAATTTTCAGATAATTTGGGTCTATTAACATGTAAGAGGTACGTCCACCCCGACAAAAAGGGGACTCATATATCGTGTCTGTAATGTGGCCAGCATGGTTTTCATTTATGAATTCCAACTTGTCTTTTTTAAAGCATAACAACAAAGAGACAGACTGAAGTTGTGATTTGTTTTCCTCTGAAGCTGCTCCACCGGCAAGACAGGGAGTCACAGATATACACTATCAGGATCCAGAATTTTCTTCTTTTCTTCTTTCATTTCATGATGGAAAAAGGCCGACATAATGATGGGAAGTGTGGTCATAAAATGCATCAGCACATGAGAGTTTCTGTCATTTGGTCAGTTTTCTTGCCCTCCAATATCAAAACCAAATTTAAAGTAGTCGACTCTGAAACTCGTGGATATTTGTTAAGCTTGTTTTCCAGAATTCATCAAATTTGACTTAAGCTTTTCCAAAAATTTGAATGTCACAAGCTCTCACTTAAAGATTAATGTGTTTTTAGGTAATTATAGGCATTGGTACCCATCCTATTGCGAGTAGATTTCCAAAAACATATATACTAGAAAATAATGAATAAATAATCAAAAAAAAGATATGTTAAAAAATTTTAAAAGCTACAGAAATTTTAAAAAATGTTTTTCAAAATCTCAACAGTTTCTGAAAAATATTCCTGGTTCGACAGTAAAAAAAAAAAAAAAAAAAACTCCCAAAAATATCCGACTTGTTGATTCGGCTACCCCTTGACTTTTCTGCAACCCCTTGACTTTTATCATCAGAATGTTTGCGCTTCTTTAGAAAGGAAGTTTCTTGAAGAAAAAAGATTTTTTTTATTATTATCCTTAAGTTCAACTCCAAAAAACTGAAGGTTAAAGACCTGCTGAAGACCAGCACTCTCACCATGAACAGTGGTATTATTAAGTAGTCCAGAGGACTGCAGTGCCATAGACTAGCCTCACAAAGCTTCAAACTGGATTGTGAGTTCACATAATTTTAATGCCTCATTTGTGCCCACATTGTAAAGGATTTTTCCCTGAGGGACTAATAAGGTTCAACAGTCAATACCTCGACCTACCAGGCTATGCACGGGCATTGTTGGGATATGACCTTTACAAATTATTTATTGAACTCTCTTTTGCATCTTGACTGAACACAAATCAGGGTTTTTCACTGTCCTCCATAAAGAAGTTGGTTAATGCAGTTAAAAAAAACAAAGTCTGGTAAGAGCCACCATGAGCGTACTAAGTGTTTCAAAAGTTTTGGGCAGATTTAGATGAGTCTCCTCTGCTGTGTGGACATAAAACCGGATCTTAATGTAAGAGGAAGGCGTAGTTATATCTCTGCTAATTTCCTGGCCAACAGGAGACAGAAGGAACGTGGGTTCTGTTGGATACCATAACCCCCACCCAGAAAAATAGACATGACCAAGCTTGGTGCTGTGATTCAGCCTTAAAAAGCCTTCATAACGTACTGTTCAGCCATCCAATTTTGGACAATGCCACTGATCTGCCAACCATCTACATAATGTCTGTAATCCTGTCAAAAAAAACAAAAACACCTCGAGTGCAAGGGATTCTTCCTCTGGAATCCTCGGAAAACAGATCCAATTCCTTGAAATCTTGTCATTTTGACTTGTTTTGGTGTTGATGCCATGTTATGAAGGGTCCTTGGCTGTTTTTTTTGGCATGGTATTTATTTCCAAGTATGATGAGGATGGAAAATGCTGCTGCCCCTGGAAGGCGAGTTCCCTTTCCTCCCGCTGCACACCACCTGAAACGTCAGTCCTGATTGTTCCAAAGTGACACCCTGTACCCAGATTCTGCCACGCTCACAATAACACTTTCCCCTATCCTCTCCTCCCTCTCGCCCTCCCACCCTGTCTCTCCCGTCTTTTTGTCTATTCAGCTGCCTGTCTGGAGCGCTGACTGGTTCATCCTCATTTGCTCCACTCATATCCCCAGTCTTGACACTGCCAAGCAGCTGCCACAGGCTTCTCTCCCCCGTCCCTGCTCGTCATTGTTTTTCGGCTCAGCCTCTTTGTTATTGTGGATTAGTGTTGATTCATTGGTGTTACCATTAACCTTTACTGGTGGATTTATATATTTCTGAGTCATTGCTTTGCAAACTGCGAGAGGACGGGAATCAACACACAAACGTTTCTCACCATTCAAGTGTTTTCTATAATATTTAGAGGCTCTCTTTGAAGTAATCTCTGCTTCTCCATGGCTCCTCTAAACTGGAAACTAATGGGACGTTTTTAAAGAGCACAAAAAGCAGGGACATTTACAAACCAATCCAAAGAGGAAATATAAGAATCGGAAGCTGCCGTTAGCTATGCTTACCTCCAGAGCTGCTTTATGACCCAAAGTGACCATCTTTGATTTCAAAGGTGCATATCTCATCTCATCCGTCATTTGTTGGATTTCAGTTGTCATTAAAGGAGGGGTATTATGCTTTTTTTTCAGACTTTATATTTCCTTTTTGATACGTTTATGATAGCTTTGTGTGATTTTCAGATTTTAAAAAAGGCCTCAAATTTCTAACAGAGGTGTATTAAAATAGAAGTATTTCAGCGTCCTGAAACACTGCTGTCTCTTTAAGGCCCCCCCTCCACAAGCCTACTTTCTTCTGATTGGCCAGCCTCTCCAGAGGTTTCCCAGAAGCAATTTTTGTTTGTTTGTTTGTTTGTTTGTTTTTGTTTTGTAGGATAGTAGGGGAAGGCCCCACCCTCCTTTGCCTCAGATTGGCTAGAAGTGCTGGGCTCTGATTGGTTATTCCTTATGGCTGTGAAACGTCATCATCTGTTCGGTTTGGGTTAGGGTAAGGGTTAGGATTAGGGTTAGGATTGGGGTTAGAGTTAGGAGATTCAGAAGTGCGATAACGTTCTGTAATGTTCAGTTCGATGTACAGAGCCGACAGCACATGTTTTGCTTGAGCGTGTGATGACGTTTCCAGCTTTTCCAGCCAATCAGAGGCGAAGGAGGCGGGACATTACCCTGCCATCCTTCCAAAAAAAATATCGCTTCCTGGCATTTCCTTTAAGATATAAGCAGTTTACTTCTACTTTCCCAGATTTTGACAACATACATTTACCTTGTTATTTCAAACTTTCCATACATATTGTATGGACACCAAACTTTGTAACTTTGCAGTTTTGGTTGTAAATGTGAAGAAGATCCTGGTTCAGGTGGAGAGATGGAGTGGGAAGGGAAGCAAGAGAAAACAGGTGTGTGAATCTGTGTCTGAAAAGCCAAGGGACAGAATGAGGAATGAGGGTTTTAAATAAGAGGAGGAGCAACAACTAAAATCAAACAAAAGAGGGTTTTAAGTTTGCTAAGTTAGCCAAAAAATGTATTTCTTGTTGAAGGTCCTACAAGTTTTAGTTTCATACATCATTCACAAGGATACTGGATTTCCTCCAACCTTGTTAAAGGTTGATAAGATGTAGTTTTATTCTCAGAGAAGCCCCCATTGGTTGAATTACTTAAAAGTCAATGGGATGCAGAGAGAGGTTTGACTTGGGCGAGGTGTAATGACAAGGCGATGAACAGCAAAATAAAGAAGATAGAGAAAAGGAAGGTGAGGAATCAGAGTTCCAGGGGAGATCTTGATTGGCCCGTTCCTCTTCAGGTTTTAATCTGCCTGATCTGTAATTAGTATCAACTGTGACACAGCCAGACCTGCCCTGCACAGATAGGCGAGATGGTGCAAGAACCCACATTTTCTTACACCATGGTACATACAGATAGAGACATATCAGACATGGCAAATGCATGCATCCGCACTTGTAAAAACATAAACATGCAGGCTCATGAGACTTCAGAGAGCGTGCATAAAGAAAGTCAAAGCTAAGCAGAGAACATTCTTGCACACAGTTTAGAGAGAGACCAAACACTCCATCAGCAGCACTGAGGGTTGAAAGCTCGTCTTCCCTCTGAAGCAGATAAAATGAAAATATTACAGCACATTCCAGAAATCCACTGAGGGACAAACTCCCACGTCCTGCTTTTATATCCGCTCTGCCTTCTGTAAACACTCAGAAGCTTTCCTAAAAAATCACCCATCGACACATATTCACTTACCGCTGCATCTCACTGCCTTCCCTCTGCACCACGTCTTGTGGTGTCTTGCTAGCCTCGGGCTACATGCTGCTCCTGATTGCTACGCACTCGGACTAACAGCACATCAAAAGTGGCCCCCGCACAGGGTTTGTGTGCGTCCGTGCATGTGTGTCTAGCACGGGTCATTTTGGCTATTTCACAGATTAAGAGGCTCAAGACAAATGAAGACAGACCGAGTAATCTCTCCCTCTCTGACTCTGCAGGGTGTGATTTAATAAGATTGATTTTTACAATAGAGGACTGAAGAGAATTTTACCAGTCTATTTTTTTTTAATTTTACTGCGTTATTTTCACACAAATGTTTGAACAATACCTTTGGGACAGAGAATCCAAAAAAAACGAACATGTTTTCAGATGAGACAGATTTGAAATTTCATTTATATTATCGTAACTGATTTTATCATTCATTATAGCAGCGATGTGGTGGAGTGGCTCCTAACCTTTTCAGTTTTCATAGCAATGTCCATCTCCTCGCCATAATCATAGGCTTTAAGTGTTTGTGAGCTCTGAATATTTCAACCACTCACAGTTTTTTCATGTCAAAAGAATGTACATTCATCAGCTACTGAGCAGGTCAAACACTCCAGAGTGTCGGTATTCAGAAAGTCCAAATTAATCATGAGCAGAAATATATATATGTATATATGTATATATATATATATATACTTCCTTTTTTGTTAACTGTTTCTTAATTGCGCAAATCACTGCAGCTTTCAGAGGTTGGAACTTCTCATAAAGCACACTTTGACTTTGAAAGTGCACCTACATGAGTGCACATTTTCAGAAGAACTGCTAGGGAACTATTTTGGGGCAACAATGACGAGGGTACACTGCTTTATGAGCTTCTGTTAAGGTATAATTTTTTGGTAACAACTGTTTTTGGTTTCTCATTAAGTAAATATAAGCTTTTGGAAAAAAAATTCATTGTGTTTTGGGAACAACATCCATGGTACCATGTCTTAAGAGCAACTTTTTCTATACAGTACCTTGGGAACAGCAGTTAGGGAACAGTTCTCTTCATAAAGTGCTTTTTAGGACCAACTGTTTGGGTACAGTTCTTGAGAAAAAATGCTAAATAACATTACAGCTGCTTAGGTATCACTTATTTCTGACAGCTGCTTAATTACAATGTTTTGAGAACAGCTGCTTTGGTAAATTTTTTTGGGAACAACTGCTTGGACACCATTTAAAAAAACAAGGAAAAATTCTTGGTTTCTATGATTTAGGACCAACTACATTGATACTATAACTTATTTGTCATTTTGTGACAACTGTCCAATGTTTTGGGAACAGGTGCTTTGGTACCATGTTTTCTGATTCTAATCACCAGGAAATGTTTGGAAATTGTTGCTTTTAGACCAGGTTTGGGAACTTTTGTCCTAAAACTGGGATTGATGCACCATTAACTAGTTTAGAGCACCACTTACTTTGTTCAATATAACTGACATGAGAAACGAGTGACCTATTTTACCAAAATCCTGTACTGCCAACCACTGTCTCAGTCTTCCTATACATCAACATGATCAACTTTTGATTGGCCTAGCAAGTCATTAAAAGACCAGAAACTCATCTATTTAGAGGACATTTTTTTGCCACTATATGGGTCTGATAAGGTGTTTGCAGAAAGCCTGATTTTGTTCCCTTGATATTCAGTCCATTTGAACCTTAGTGTTACAAAATCATCTTTTTTTCAGCCTGATTTATTACATTTTTAAAAGTTTTTAGTAACTAATACTAAAGTCATGCCTCACCCTTTAAGAGTCCAAGAGTGCAGGGTATGATATAACGTTCTACAGGAGCTGTGCGCTCTGCAATGTTTTTTCTATTTTCTTCAGCATTTCTGTATTTATGTTGTCAGACAAAAACACATTCTGAGGCGTTTTTACATTTCAGTTTCAGAGAGTGGGAACAGATTCTGACCTCATCTGAGCCGAGCAGCTCTCGCCCCAGGCGGACTGCACGAACACGGATGTGTAAGTCTGTTCCGAATGCCTCTATAGTGTGGCAGGAAAAGGTGTGAAATCATGATACACTTCCACCTAGTGAGTGAAATTTGTACGTTTTGTCACGCACACACAAAGTCGCACACTGATTTTTTCCACTTTGTTTATCTCACACTGTGAAGGTGTGTGTTTCATGGGAAGAGTGTGAATGTTGCACCTGTCAGCTCTTGATTAACAAACCATGCTTTCTGTACTGAGCGCACACATTACACACATGCCACCCATGTTCATAAACTCAGAGAAACTGCCAGAGTTTCTTCCTGCTAATTGCCTATGCTAATTTTATCTCCAGAGTGGCAGTAAAAGTATTAGTGCAAAGCTTTTCTTGGCACTTAGATGTTTTTTTTTTTTTTTTCATCTTCCATGTTTTAAAAAAATAAGATTAAATGTACAGAAAGTCTAGTATGAACAACTTTTTATTTCATAAACTTTAAACTTTTTGGTAAATCCAAATTCAGTCCAATAACCACACTGTCTGGCGGACTGTGACTAACTTTTGATTTACCTAACACAAACCTTTAAGGAACTAACCACTGATTTAGTCCGTGTTATGTCTGGTTTAGTGATGATGACTCTGTTATGGACAAACCACAACACAGACTAGACTAGTTCACTTTAATTCTGTTTTAAAGACCACTTAAAGGTGGGGTCGGCAGGAATCCGTTAAAGAAGCATCTTTTTTTGTGGTGTATATACAAAAAAGCTTTTAATGTCAGTCAATAGCTATTAGTTATTGTTGACATTTGGGAATATCACGATGTCGCTGTGTTCTGTTATGTCTGTGTAGTCAACATTTTAATATCTTTGAGCGGCCCGCTCTTTCTGACTGTAAACAAAGCCATTCTCCGCCTCCCCCAACCTGATTGGTTGTGAGGCATGCTCCACTTCCTCAAATAACATTCACGAACCCAAACAAAGTTAGCCTGCTACAATATCGGACAGTAGAAATCAACCAGAATGTATGGAAAATTTTCTGAATCCTCCTTTGGCCACAACTGCCAACACAAGCAAGAAAACAAAGCAAATACTGGAGACTCTGGCTTAAAAGTGAGGTAGACCAGACAAGAGCTAAAAAGCCGGGTCAACATAAAACGATGGGGGACGCTTTGGGATCTTACAGACCCTGTAACCTTTCTGCTGGACAGGTAAACTGCTCTAACAAAGTAAGCAAGTTAGCAAGTACAATGTGTTTGCTGGTCATCTGTTGGCATCTACAGTAGCACCAATGTTTTTGTCTTTTTTTCTATTTGAAGTATTTATCTGCATTATATCTGAATTTAATTGAAACAATAAGAGCGAGCAGAAGCGTCTGTTTGTAGGTGGGGCTTGCTGGAGCAGCGAGGGAGGGGAGAGGAGGAGCTGAGGGAAAAACTGGTTGGGAGGGGTAGTGTTTGCTTTCAAGATCTCTCCCACAAACTGGCACTTCCTCAGATGCTGCCTACCCCATTTTGATGTCAACCTTGTTGGAGAAACACTGGTTGTTTTTGAAGCCCTGACAGAAGTAGAGAACTGGTTAATGCAGTTTGGACTTTTAATGAACCATTAGGAACTAATTAAGTCCTCCTTAAACCTGGTTTAGTTACCTCATGGTCATATTTTTAGGAATTATGTCATAAAGTGAGTTTACCTCTCCCATGAACCTTTGGTTTATTCCTCCTTAACCCTTCTGAGGGAAGTTTGGCTCACCTTAAAGTCATTTCTGTTGTAAATATCAACGTGCAAATCTTGCAAAGCCGGTAAATCTTGCTAGTGAAAAGCTTTTATTGATTGCATTTCCTGCTTAACTTTTATTTTGCCCCCTAAAATCTGTTTATGTCAACTAGACTATGAAGGTTAGTTTGTCACCTGAGATGTTGTTAACCTTTTGGTACCTACTACTTTAAATTTGATTTTGACATTGTGTTGCTAACCAATGATTTGGTCAACCCTAACTCATCAGAAACAAATCAATATATCAAATCAATATGTGCTTTCTCCGTAGAATCTTTCAACTTCAATCGCACGTTTTCTTGTTACGGGTTCTGACAGACAAAATCAGTGTGCTCTCACTGTATTTTTCGAACATTAGCACCTTGATTTTTTGGGGCACATTGACAACCCTTTCACTGAAACGCATCACTTATCAGCTCGGACTGTGACCTCCAATCACAGCATGACCTTCGCACCCATGAGCCTGGCGCTGGTATAATCCCATGTGGGTGTCTTGGTATTGACTCAGAGGTTATTGGTTCAGCTAATTGCTATTTGCATAGCTTTATTAGTATCCCAGCACTGCTTCCGTGACATTTCAATCCTTTTTTTTTTTCCCTTTTCGCTTTCTCTGGCTCCGTCTCCGTGGCTTCGTCTTGTTCTGTGCATTCTGGGGAGAGGAATTAGACAGTGTTTGGTGTGTGATTAAGTATTCATGCTTAAAGTAGCGACGAGCAGATCTCAGGAGAGGCAGCCATGGAGGAGGAGAGCAAACATTAATATGCGCCTAATAACTCTTTCTATCTGCTTCCTTGTTTTTCCATTCTGTCTCTGTGTGTCTGTTGGGCTCTGGTTGGCCGGGTTTTCCCTCTCCATATTTTGGGTGAAATATAAAATATTGAATTTGAAAAGATGAATGGAAGTGAGAGGAATCTCATGAAATGTTAATGTTTTTGTTGTTTTTTTTATAACAGAAAGGGGCTGTTCAGTAAACATCAATGGAGCACACGTTTGTAGGACGATGATGGGAACTTAGCCTGACTGAGCATCAGAGAGTTTTGTTTTAACTCCTGAACCACCAAGAGGAATCTAGGTGCTCAAAATGTTCAGCAGACAGCAGACCTCCACACTGAAGCCTATATTTGTGGGATTTTGATGGGAGATGTACCTAACTGTCCCTAACACGTCCTTAAAGACCTATTACTTCCAGAGCTTCTTCACTGGCCCTAGATCATCTGCAGAAGTCATCCTTCTCTCCAAAAATAACAAAGCTGTGAGGAGAGGTAAGAACACCACAAAGAGCTCATTTTCCTTTGAATTTTCAGCTTGTTTTATGCGTAAGTTTTCTTTAATTTTTCTTTTTCCACAGAGTTTATAAGGTAAGGTGATCAAAACCAATAAAAACTCCAAGCAAGTCAGCTGTCTTCAGCTGTTGACAAAGCTGTGACTAACTTCAGCAGAGGAACATCACAGTGGGGTGAAGAGTAACACTATTTTTGGGAAGTCAGAATATGGTCACCCGATGTTCGACCCTGTTTCCCTCCTGCTCTCTGTGTTTCATTCTTTGCATCATTTTTCAGTGTTTCCTATTTTATTTTGTAGTAGTTTATTCCCTGTGTTTCTAGTCTGGTTTTACTTCTCTAGTTTTTCCTCCTTTGTTAATCACTAACGAGTTTCACCTGTGTCTCGTTTGCCTCACCTGTTGCTCGTTTCCCAGTGTGTCTAAAGTCCCCTGTCTTCCTCTCTGTCCTTGTTGGTTCACTGTATGTTTGTCGGTGTGTGCATTTGCCTGTGTCACCAATTGCTCCCTGTGATTTTACCCCAGTGATTTTTTGTGGATTTTGCCTTTTGGATCTTTCCCTTTCTGTTCCTTTTATTTTGTTCTTGTAAAATAAATCCTTTTTCTGTTATGCATTTTGAGTCCTTTCCCTTTTTGTCTAACTCAAGACTGTGACAATTTCTATAGGCCCTGAAAATATGACAACATTTAGGGAGGTAAAGTGGTGCAGCCCAGTTTAATACTTTGTTTTCTTTAGGCTAGTGACCCCTGGCAACCCCCCTGCTTGTTCTGTCTAAGTTCTCTGGAAATAAGTTAGCTTAAAGTTCCGGTTAACCAATTTGAATAAACTTCCCTTTTGTTCAAAGGTCATTACTTTTTGCTGCATCTAACTTTTCTCTTACAATAGAGCCTCTTATCCCTCAGTCCCTTCCCCTCAATCTGTGATAATCATACAGTTATATAGATTCACTGACAAATATTATGTTTACAGCTGGGTTACCACAACGTGAGCATGGTTTACCAATCAAATGATAGGTTGTAAAGCAGGGAAACTCTTGAAAAATTTGTTTGCTGGGTAATTTTTTGTTGTGAGAAATAATTTTCATATAGACAGCTCTAAACACTCAAAAAATGCATTTGTGGTGTACCTCAGGGGTCTATTCTCGGCTCTCTTTTATTTTCCACAGAGATGCCATTTAGTAGCCCATGCTTTAGCTCCCAAGCTAACTGCAATACTTCATAAACTGACACTGACTTAACAAGAAAGTGACCTTAAAATAGTTACCACCTGATCAGACTGCCAGGTCTTATACAAACCCCCTTAAAAAGTTTATCTTCCAGGTAAATCACACAAATCCTGTAGTATTTAGAGGTATTTAGAGGGATGCCGAAGTGGCAGTTCAAAACTTCCTGCTGAGTGGGTAAAAGGCTGGACTGGCAAAGGTTTAAGAAGTGCGAAAGCTTTCTTTCTTCATTCTTGTTTAAAAGTCAAAGTTTATCTTTAGAAAAAAAGGAATATTTGCAGTTTTATTTTAGAGAAAACACAGTCTAACATTTTCCCACGGGGCTGTTTAACATAACTTCAAATTGATGCGATTAGAACAATTAAAAATTTACCATGTACAGTCTTTTTGGAAACAGGTCAATCTGCTTTCTCATAGTATCTAAAATTCCATTATGGCATTGATCCTGTTTTAGCGTGAGTCATGTCGCTGGGTTACTTTGATGAGAGGGCACCAGATGAGTTTTGTTTTTCAGTCTTTCCAGAGTTCAAAAATATGACTTCTGTTTCATTTGCAACTTGACTTTCCTTCCGTCTGTACAGTCTGTCTTGTTCCTTCCTCACCCTCTGTTCTTCTGTCTCTCTTCATGAATATTTGTGTTTGTGTGTGCTATTTCCTGCTCGCTGTCTCTCAGTGTTTGTCCTGTAGTCTCTCAGCTCTCAGAGTGTGTGTGCATGTGTGACGGGCCGCCTTGGCGTGTGTGTCTTCCAGAGTGAAATGTCAGTCTCATTTCGCTTTTATTACTTGAGGGATGAAGAGGAGGGCTTTACTCTGTAATCTCAGCCTCCCCGTGGCCGCCGCTCAGCCCCCGACATACCTAGGAACACACTCGCCGCAGTTACATCCAGGCTTTTAAACACCTTATCCTCCGACTGTTCCATTACGGCCACAAAACATTTTGTCTCGTACGTGCATTCCTGCTGCGCCTGGCGCCATGAAACTGTGGATGAAGGGTGACAAATGGTTCGATTAAAAGCATCTCGAAAAGAGCGTTTGATTGACTGATTGATTGTGATGGATTGGCCTGTGGGAGTGTGGATCAGAATAATGAACACCTTCATGCTTAGGGTGGTTATTTAAAGACCAACTTCTCCTGTAAGAGTCTGGCTGTGGAAAACACTTGTCAAGAATTAGCTATGAGGGGAATAATAGCTCTGCGTGTGGAGCTGTTAGACGTGTCAGAGTGCAGTTCTTACATGCACTATAGAAAGCCATAATCTGTTTGTAATGCAACAACCTCAGAGATCTATCAGGTTTGTACAGCACTATAATGATTTTAAACGTATCTAACATTGAAGCATTGAGCGGCCTCGTCATCTAACCGCTCTGGTTCCCATGATTTTCCATGTTTGTCTGTATGAGCCTGTTGATTTGGGCTTTGATTGACCACAAACTACTGCCAGATCTCGCAGGACACACCAAAGCTTCAGTGTGATCTCTGCTGCAATACTTGGGATTTCATTGGCTCTTCACTCCCAGATATCTAAGATTTTGTTGTTAAACCCTTATTTTATATCTATATCAAGTTTGTGCAGAAAGACCTGGATTGCTAAGCTCTGACCCTTCCCACTCTCATAATAATAACTAATAATGGGCAACTCAATACCAAGCTGCAGGCTATTTACCACTTTTGAAGTTACTGATTGATTTGTGGATTATTTTTAAGATTTATTAGAAGACCTGCAAACCCTGAGCTGATATCAGAATTACTTGTTTGACCCAACCAGTAGTCCAAAAACAGAAACACTTCAAGTGTGTGATCATACTGGGAAAAATAGCGAGATGTTTAAAGGACTGGAGGGTAATTACGACACAGTTTTCTTTCTTATATGACCAAAATAATTAAACATAAATATTTTTAAAAATTCATTCCATCCTTTGATAAAAGTTCAACACTTTGTGAGAGACTGTGTGAGCAAATAGTTCAACTTTTTCAGAATATTGTCCTAAAACTGTGAAGAATTTGTAGATTTTGTCTTAGCACCCCATGTAAAGTCTTTGTCGCAATGGTTGCTGGTTCGATTTCCAGCCAGCCCCTTTTGCTGCATGTCTTCCTCCACTTTTTGCTCCCCACATTCCCAGTAGCTCTTCCACTGTCCTATCAAACAAAGTGAAAGAAGCCCTGAAAAGAAAACTAAAATTTGGCAGTCTTTTGGAAATCATGGACATCATCCTCCTGTGGATGTACAAGTTTCAGAGCACCATATGAAGAAATCCAGACAATACCTCTTTCATAATTTAGCAATCCTGCATGCATTACAACTGTATGGCTCAGTAGTAGAAGAGTCCACGTGTCAAAGCGGCCTACTAGCAGTCCTGACCCATTGATAAGCAACTTTTTTAACATGTGTTGCTAGCATAGACGTTTCAAAATGAGCTCATACTTTTTTTTAAATAACAATGCGGTTTCTAAGTTTAAATATCTAAAGTGTTGTTTTTGCATTATTTTAAATCATGCATCCAGACTTTCTGGAATTTGGCTTTCTGCTTAAAACGATCCCCGCTGGTCCATTAAGGCTGGTCCTGTCCTGTCACTGTGCTTTATCTTCCTCCCTCTGGAGAACACTTAATCGCTAGAACATGCTCTATAAATAAAATCATGATTATCATTGAACTCCAACCTGGTAACAGTCTGCAGCTACAGGGAGTCGTCTCTTTTTCCTGCCGTCCAGCTCCATGTCGAGCCCGAACACCGGCCTCTCCCACACTGAGCCAGCTGTGGTTTTTGCTGTTGCTGAATATGTTAGCATGCCAATGAGGCCTATGGAGATCTGCTGCACACTTCTCTGCAACCTGTTTGTGTGTGCGTACCTGTGTGGGAGGGCAGAACAGTGCCCTCAACCCCCCATTTTCCATGAGCCCGAGGGAGAAGGTCTCTAAAAAAACATCAAACATGTGTGTGTTAACCTGCAGCTATAGAAGCAGAGAGAAAGGTGAGCCGGTCACTTTCATATCTCTAACGTGTGTTTTTATTTTCTGCAGCAGAAAGGGAGAGTGAGTGGAGGTGGAGGAAAGGCCAGAGAGGGGAAGGGTGGGGGTAGGGGAAGGGGCAGACCAAATTGAAATAGAAATTCAAGTCAGTGGATAAAGAAACAGGACTCTTCATTTCGCCTTGTTGTGCAACCATGTATATTTCCCGGCCGCCGCCACTCTCTTTCTCTCCGTCTCTGTCTCTCTGCCCCGCAGCGTCCCCGGGATGATTGATATGCACCCAGAGCGAAGCTAGCTACAGAGACAGAGAAAATCATGCATAAAAGATGAACGCAGTTTATTGTGTTTTCCTGGGGGCCGAGGGCAGAGCAGAAGTTATGGATTTATGCGCTGTGTGATTGGATGAGAGGCCGGACCCCTGGGACAGATGTTGAGCAGGGAGGAAAAGGTGGTTTAGGATTCAGAGGTACAGAGCGAGAACTTGTGTCGGACAGGTGTGGATCACTTACTGACAAGTGGAGAGTCTCGCTGTGGCCGTAGGGAGCTGCAGGTCCTGCACAACCCCAACAGATCCTTCTCACGTTATTGCCCATCACTGCTGTGAAGTACAGGCTGCTGTTGGCTTGCATGGACACAATAGTGACACATCTCTGCCTGTAGGTGGCACTTCATTCAAATTGGGAACACTGCTAGCAAAGATGGTGGCATGCCACAGCCAAAAGTAAGACAGAAGAAGTCCATATTTTTGCAAACTTTGCTTGTTGTCTTGCGGCTAAAACCCACAGGATCTGGAACGGCTGCGCTCTGCTTTGGAATGGCAGGCAGATCAAATACACAAGCGTTTTAATCAATGTGTGTGATTCCACGCAATCCGTCCGCCATCCAGTTCCGCTGTGGATCGGCTTCAGCGGCCAGATCAGATGCGCAAGGCTTCTATTTTTGCTGGACACTGCAGCACGATGCATCAATTTAGTGCAGCACAGCAAGAGCAGCAGTGGAAGTTGTGTGCGGCTACAGAGTAAAATAGCCGGTTAATTTTCAAAATAAAACAAAGTCAATACGTTGAACTGTTCTTCACTTGATAAGAGGAGAGGCCACGGTTGTGGGATGTGGGTGTTTATATACACTGATGTTTATATACACCGATTGAAAGACCTCATTAAGTGTCTCACAAGGAAACATGCAAGATCTCGTCCAGTCTTGCGAGAAATATCTGTAATATCGCAAGCGTTTTTCCGACGATGGCTACAGCGGATCAGATCCAGTGGGCGCTATATGCTTGCGTATTTGATTCGCCTCCTGTGGAATCCCCAGGTTAGTGAAATTTCAGATACGAAATCTGCCTTAGGAAACTGACGGACGGCATGGGAAAACGCCTGGACTGGAAAAACTGAACTATCAACCATGGCTTGGCGTTCACTCTTCACTTATCTATGAGGTGTTAATTCGCACCATCCTCTCACTCTGATTGGCCAACATTCATCAACAATCACATAATCCTTCACAAAATAAAAATGCAACATTCTCAAACAATAAAACATTAAATTATCCAGTCATACATTCTCACCTGGTGCCACCTGTTAGTGGGAATTTTCTGGATCAATTTCATCGAATGCTTTATATAGTAACCTGGTTTTATCCCTTTATTTAACCAACTTCAAAAACAGGGAAGGTTCATCTCCTTCACTTTAAAGATTGGACTCTCAGTCACACTGGCAGTATTTCAGTACAGTGCAATGGAAGTTGGCATCATAATTACATTATAATCGCCCGCTCTCACCTCTTTATTCAGCTGTGAGCAACCAAATGGACTGAGCGGGGTCGTCTGAACCCTCGCCTCCTCGGGTTACACTGATTAATTGGTTTGCTGATACGCCGGGTCACTACTTATTCAAAATTGGATATCGGCCAGCGTGATGGATGTGATGCAGTTTGTTTGATGACATTGTTTAATTGATCAATTTCTACGGGAAGCCATTAAACTGAAATCATTCTAATGAGACATTTTGATTGGGGGCTTCTCTTGAATATATTTCCCTCTTGTTACGGAGAGTTTAAGCATCCCATTGTACTGTATACATGCGGTTAATGAGCTTTTTCCACTCTGCTGAGAATAAAATCACAATGACAGTACTGGATAATGAGAAACTTTATTTGACTTATAGGGAGTTTTAATTTGAAGTTTGAATAATGTAAATGTTTTTACAGCCTCATGCTACAAGACAATGATGTTAATCCCTGAGTCTCACAGTCATCAGTATTAATAAAGTGCAGCTTAAATTTCATTCACAGGGAGATGATTCAGCGTATATTTGCATGAGGGAGTAAACTGTCAGTTGTTTTATGTTAATTTAAATTCTGGCCTGTTTTTAAGGAGAGGACTCCAGCACATTAACACACACAGAGTCTATTCTAGCACAAAGGCCTAATGGGGCAGAGTGAGCTGCACTTTGTTCTTGGTTTGGAGGCATCTCACTCTCTCAACAGTGACTCAGGCGACAGTGTTTTACCGCTGTATGAGGTTTCTAGCATGCATCATTTGAGGACAAATGATCCTAGAGGAATAGCAGAGTGCTATCTCACAATTTGACTGAGTGATCTAACTGGAGCCTCAGGCAGATTACTGGAATTATCAAATTTAATGGGCCACTCTTCACAACTGCTTTTTTTATTTTACCATTCTGCAGCTTTGAAAGATTGAGACAGCGCTGCAAAAATGTACTTCTGTCAGTATTTTCTACACGTAGATTATATATTGCGCTCCAAATAGATTTATCGAGGTAGTTGCAGTGAATGACAGCTGGTAAAGACGACAAAAGGCTGGAGGACAAACATGTTCCTCAGAGGTAATGTAAAGGTAGTTGGTGATTATGTCCTAACCGCCAATTTACCCTGCTGCCAACTGTGTCTAAAGACAACTGTATTGATTTCAAAGTGATTTATTTGTACGACAAAAAACTGTTCCCATATTTTCGATGGTTGGTCGATATGGCAACAGTTTCTTATCAGTCCACATATGGATCAAGTTAAGTTCTATCATAGGACCTGGTGGTACAATCCCTCGAGACCTGCACTTGTTGTTGGTTTTCCAGCCTGTGCCCATGGTGGATATATGGGGACGGAGGAGGGAGTTGAAGCTTCACTGGAGTCATCCCATCAGGCGCCCTTCTTCGTGGGATGATAGATGATAGGCTCGAGAGATAGGGAGCTGTAACAAGTGAACTCCTCTTTGCTTTAGTTCCCTCTATTCCCCCATGATTGCTGGCCTAAGGACTAGGAGGTCTATCTCCTTTTGCTGTAGAACTTGTCCATGGTTCCCAAAGATCTTGAATACCCTGGTGGTTAACTTTCCCACAAAGCCCGCGCAACCAAAATCAACCGGACGTACAAAGTTCAGGATCAGCTGCCAGTTTAGCAAACTTCAGATCCTTCTGTTCATCCGCGTCCTCTACTGCATCATCCCTGGATACTGTTATCTTCACTGTGCAAAGAGAGATGGACCAGAGTACAAGGTCTGGTTAGAGCAAGATCTGCTGGAATGCAAAGCTGCTGGTTCAGGTCCACTGCCGACTTCCAGTCTTGTGCCCCACCAAGCAGGCTGATTTGTGGCTTGGTTTAGTGTTGCACAGTTGGCTGATACAGGTCTGAAGCTTTTGTACAGGACACGTAATGAAGAAAACAACAATTGGAGAGATTCAAAAAGACTAAATTGAGCAAAACTCTCAGTACTGTCTGCAGCACATGAGGCTCAACATTCAATCAAAGGTTATTTGCTCAAGAAAGCAGCAATCTGAGGACCTCTGAGCAGCAACTTGGTGAAAAATTGGTGCATCCCATTGTAGACTGGTATTGGAATCAGTGTCAAAAATGTAATATGGGTTAGACTCTATCAATAAAAAACTCAAATATACCCCAAAAAACTGCTCTGTGGAAGCTAATATTAAAAAACCTAGACCTGTTTCAAATCAAAGCTATGGAGTCCAATAATATTGACTTTATTTCCCCTCTTGCTGTCCTTTAAAAGCACCTTTATTATGTAGTTGATGTGTCCAACAGGACCAGTGCAGTTTCATTATCACGGGCGGATGATGGTGTCCGTGTGCAGAATTGTCAGCGGGTGCTGCAGTTATGAAAGTTTAGCTCTTGATTATGGACAAGTTAATAGTGACTGGTCCGTCTTTCAGAGCAGCCTGTATTGATCGCTGGTCGTAGAGCAGGAGTGAATCCACCTTATTGATCTGCTTTGATTCCTTTGTTTCATCTCCTCCTAGCTCAACTAATTGGGCTATTCTTCGTCGACAAGATTGACTTTTATGCCTGATATTACCGAGCTGTATTTATTCCCTTGAGGGGAAAAACAAATTAAAGGGGGTGTTTTTCCCCTTCTTCTCCTTCTTCCTCTTCTTTCATACTGATATAATTCATATAAAGCCTTTTTTCCTTCAAAGATGCTCATAAATTCAGAGAAGAAATCATTATTTTCTCATAAACGTGATGATATTGCTCTCATCGGGGCAGACTGTGATGCAAAAGCACTTTATGAGATGGGCTTGTCACATGACAGCTGTTTTTTTGCTTTCTGATTGGCTGAGCAGCGTTGGCGGTAATGCCATTTCATTAAATGGAGACACACAGACGTTTTCCATCTGGGAACAGAAGATTCTCCTCATCCGTCTCTGTGCCAGGGGAGTGTTAAAGATGAAAAGTGACCTGCTGCATCCCTTCGCTCTTCTTCTCTCTCCCTGTGAGGGACGTGGTGTCTCTATAAAGACTATCTGTCCCTGTGACTGGCCGTCTAGTAAACAGAGATGCATTGATGCCAGTGCGTCCCCTTTAGCCCTGAGGCCAGTATTGACCAATGCATTACTAGGAGGTTTTGTCCAACTGGAGTGATTACAGCATTTAGCTGAGATTTACTCAGCAGTTAGGGAGACAGGGCTGTCTGAGGGTGATGAACTGCTCTGCAGGCGAGAGGTTGTGGGTTCAGATCCCCGGGGACAGGTTTGTGAGCGTCTCAGAGAGCTGCTTCATTAGACGCTCTGGGTTATTCACAACCAGAATTATGAACACATATATTCACGGAAGACAATGTGAGCTGTTAGGAAAAAAGGCCTGGGTGGGGAATTTCCACAACAGGTAAGAAACAAGAAAATACATTATCCTCCAAAGGTTAAAGGAACACAGATGGTAAATTTCCATTCTGCTGTTGCAACAACAAAGGAGTGAATGTAAATGACAGTTCCTGATGCAACTCTGCCTTTAAAAAGAAAAATATCATGCAATATGAAAAAAGCGTTTCCTGCAGTGGCGCCATGAGAGGGGAGAGTTTGGATGATTTTAAAGGTCATTGAGTAGTAGTAACTTAATGAAGCAAATAATTCAGGACAAAACATAGTAGGTACTTTGTGCCATGACATTTGTCTCCTAAAAACATGCAGAGAGAAAAAGTACATCTGGTCTGGAAGTCCAGGTCAGAGCCAGATAAAGACTCTGGGTACCCTCCCACTTCTTATAATACAAATATGGCTGCCAGTATGGACTTGACTTAGGGTGGATGAGAGCGCTGTTGGAGATCTATGAGAACTGATGGAAACTGGGCTTCATTAATGGATCACCATTGCGAACTCTCATTACAAACCATGACAGCTCAGCAAATAATTGAATGGAGGTGCGCCTGTCATTAGTATTCGTGTATGTAGCTTTAAAGCCTTTGCATCCGAGTGGACACTCGAGGTACTGCAGTTTTTAGCACTCTGACTGAATTTCTCAAGACTAGAGGTTTCAGCCTTAGAAGCAGCAGTGGTAACAGTATCAACACACTACTTTGATGCCCTCACAGTTTTGGTATTGTGCTGTTGGCTGCTTAATAATCCTGCGATTCATTAAACCAATAGCAAGCTGATGTGGAGGCTTGTCATTGCCACCTTAAGTGTAGTTAAACTGGTTTATAACCACTTAACGTGGGCAGTATGTAGCCCCCAGAGGCATGTGGACAACATGTAAGGAAGACTGAGGGCTGGTGATGCTAGCTCTGCTTGTGTTAGCCACCAATTCGACATTGTGATCTTCTGTTTAGACATGCAGAAATAACTGTGATCAGTTTGGACTGCTGTC